GAACCTTTACAGTTTAAGGAATAACTATCTAGATATAATCCCTCCAAGAATTTAGGCTTTCAGAGTGAAAATTTTTTATGTAATAAATCTTCGAAAATATACTGGTATGTTCTTCCAGTATATTAAGACAAATTTTGCATCATCTATAATTTTGTTTCATATTTTTATATAGTGCTTCCTATTGATGACCCTTTTTACATAATCATAAATATGTATTAGGACTAACTTTGCCTAAGCATCTTCCTTTACGTCATTAGGCATATGCTAGAGCTTTAGTGTCAATTTTATCTTACATTTATAGGCACAATAAAATATCACATACAGAAATTTGCAGTAATGATCACTAGCTTCAGACTAATTTGATCGGAAGAATCAATCTGGATATATGCAAATCCAGAAAAGTAAAATTAAATTTAGTCACTACTATTGTATAAGTAAAAAATAAGTATTATCAGTATTCTTAGTAGGAAGTAGCAATTTCAGCTAAGGATACTTGATAATACAGCTCAATAATCTTGTTTATATATTCGCTCTTTTATGTATTATTGATATCATTAAATAAATCAATATTTTTTAACAATTTTTTCGTCTGTTTATAAAGATTTTGCCATTGTACATGAAATTTATTTTGTAAAATAGAAGACTTAATAAGACAGGGAAGAATTCTTGTAAGATTATTTATATGGGATTTGATTATTGCATGAACATTTGCAATTTCTTCTCCCGCTGTAATTCAATCATAATATGAAGTATAAAGAACTGTATGAATATGAGTTATTTCTTGTTTACTCCAGTTTAACCGATATTTTATAAAATCAAGATCTTTATGATGTTCCCTTTCTTTTTGCTTTAAAATAACTCGAAATACTTCAAAATTCCATTGATGATTCATAGTAAGACAGGAATATAGTATATCTTTAATCTTGAGATTATTAAAAATTAATTCAAGCAGTTCAGAACAAATAAGTGGACGAGACCCAGTATTTTTTTATGCAAGTAGTATAATACAATATATGGAAATACTAAGTATAAAATTATATGTAAATTTCCCAAATCTTCAAAATAAAATTTTGAACGAATATGCTTACTGACAAAACACTGGGTCAGTAGTAGTACCTAAAAGTAAACAATAAAGTATCCAAAAGTAATCAATACAATAATAATCCAAAGTAATCATACATAGGGATATCCTAAAATATTAACCATATGAGAAAGAAATCTAGAAAGGCTCAGGCGAAAACTAGGGTATAAATTTGGTAGTATATCAAAGTAGAATAATATATAAGAAGAAAATAAAAAGTTATGCTTTGATGTACTATCACCGATAGATAGGAAAGAGATCAGGAAAGCAGAAAGATTCAGGAGAATATACAAAAAAAAGGTATGAAAGCAATATAGCCTGAACTAATTTAGTACTTCGTGTCTCATCCTTAGCAATCAAAAGGGTCATGGACAGAATTGCAAGAATAGCATAATATCAGTACTTCGTACCTGATAAGCAATCAAAAAGTGAGTGAATAGATTGCAACACATCTTTAGCAAATAGATGAATTGCAAATTCAGCACTTCGTGTCTCATCTGGCAATTAAAAAATAGCAATCAAGAAGGAAAATATATAAGCTGATCAATATAATGCAAATTACACCTCCAATCCTTTAATTAACTGACCAAACTAGGCCCTCAAAAGTTACTCAAAAGTTACTTAAAAGTGACAGAAAAGTACCTGAAACTGGCGAGGAACTGAAACACGTGATTAACACAGTAAGGCACAATAAATTTCATTAATTTCAGCCAGCACTATTCTATATTTTTTTTCCAAACTTTGAAATGTAATAACTCAGCATTTAGACATCTGATTAATGCGATCTTAGTATCATTGAAAAGCTCTCAACATCCTCTTTAAAATGAGCTTAAAATCGCATAAATTTAATCACAGAAAGCCAAGATATTTCGCCCAAAATCTGATCTGCAAATTTACTGTATTATCTGATCAAAACATGATTTATGTAATAAATGTCAGCTTAGTATCTTGACCACAAAAAGAAAGACCATAAAATAATGAAAACAAGCAGATAGTTAGAAAGAAATAAAAAGAGAACAGAGCAATAAAATCAAGTAAATATCTATAAAACAATAAAAAGGCTACAGAGCAATAAAATCAAATAGATAGTAATAAAGCAATAAAAAGGTCACAGAACACTAAAAATATTAACTAGGTAATAATATATTCATAACTAGGTAACAGTTTACTCACAACTAGATAACATTATAGCTGAATTGGATAACACTCTTATAAAAGTGTTATCCAGTTCTATAGTCCAATCACAATACTTTTTAGTAAAGTTTTTTTAAGCAATTTTATGTTATTTTAGAAGCAATAGCTTTTTCTTTTTAATTCTAGTTACAAGACCTTGCCTTTTTAATAAGCATCGAATTATATTTGTAAAAATAATAATATTTTTGTTAAAAATTAAATTTTTTGAACTTGAATTGCATTTGAATATTCATCTGACTTAATAAGTCTAGTAACATTTATATTATGATATTTCGTAAGTATTTTTGAATAGCCTGGTCTTGGTATAATATCAAAAAAACCTGTTTTTTCTTTTATTTTTTGATTTTAATTACAGAAGAATGACTAACATTTTTATGAGAAACTATTATATGACTTAGTATTCCTTCTTGAGTGAGAAAAAAAATACGTTTCCTTTGATAAAATGGAATTGGTTTCATAATTATACTAAAAAAAAAAAAATCTTAAAGAAAGTCATATAAACTGATTTATAAATTTATATGTGTAAAACATATTATACAATCACCATTTTATTTTGTTTATTTTTAAATGCCAAAGTATTATTTTACGAAAAAAATACATAACAAAAAATTTTTTAAAAAATCATAAATAAAGTATTAACCAAATTTAAATATATTAAAAATGAAGTCATATGCTTTAGAATTAGCTAAATTTTTGATATTGTTTTTACTTAATTATGTGAATATCACAATTTAAAAATTTTAAATGAAATGGAACAATAATTATAGAAGTTACTGTATATTTTTTAAGCTCAAATTAATAAATGTTCAAAGTATATTTAAAAGCATATTAAAGCTAGTTGAAAAAAAATTGTGCTTATACTCAGTTCAAATATGCTTTGTTAAAGCAATTTAATATCTTTGGCTTTATTTTACTAATAAATTTACGTGTTAATTTCATAAGTTATAACATATCTACGAATGATTAAGAAAAAATCATATACGTATTACAAATTTAATGCTAATCATTTTTACTAAGAAAAAATTCTCAGATTATAGTTACTAAAATTCTCTCATATAATAAAAAAAATTCTATTATATATATAACTTATTACTTTTTAGGGTCCACCATAGTTTAAAAATATATTCAACTTTATAATGAATAAGCTTGCTTATACCAGGATTACTATTGTTGCTAAAAATATTGTCAAATGTGTTATGTATACTTACTTTATTTGTGTACTTACTTTACTTTCTACAATCTTGTTTGTTTGATTATATTTATCCTACATAAATGCTAAAAAGTTAGATTTGCAAACTTTAATAAACAAACGAAATATCCTAAGCTTACCATAACAAACTTGATAATATTAACTGCAAATTTTAGATTTTTAATCTGTTACAACTTTATAGATCAGTTCTGAAAAGATAACATAAAACCTTTGATCAAATCTTCAACTAACATTTGACTGCTTGTACTGACAACCTGTAAAAAAAGGAATATTGATTTTTTTTACCTATTTATCATTCAGGTTGCAATTTAACAAGCTATTTAAAATTGACTGGTTTATCTGAGCCAATTAGCAACAGTCACGAATAATCTTTTATGCTGTTAATTTTGACACAAACTTCCACTCTTCCAAATTTACTTCTGATGTTAATAAGATCTATATGTCACACTTGCAACTATTAATATACTTTACACTTCTAGTTAAAAGACAAAAAGATTCACCTCTTTGATGCATAAAGTTATAATGTTAATAACATGTAAATAAAGAAAAGTATTTCATCATTGATTCATTTACATAAACTATCTTTGACATATTATGAGATCGTTATTTAATTCTTCAATGATATATGAATAGATCTATAGAATCACATCAATTTCTATATGTCTATAATCTAATATATCAGTCTTATCTTTATATCTATAAATACTGAGCATAAAGTTAATCATGAAAAATAAAAATAAGAATAAATAGTAAAAAAAATATGTGGTATAATAAAATACTCACAAATCATAATATATTTTACTAAGTTTGTATAGTAGCTGTTTTTCTTAGCATTTAAATATGTCTCGATATAAAACTTATATACCTCATTTATTTTTTCTTTAAATACCATCTGTACAATCAATATGCAGAAATAAGTTAATTCAAAAAAAATGCACATACATTCTCAACTGTAGCTACAAATTAACTTTCATCATTTGTCATGTAAGAAACTTGTAATATAGTACTATAATTTTTAATTATGAATTTTTTGTCATCAGTAGAGAACTAATCCTTCATATTTGTTATTAAAGATAAATCAATTATTCATGATGATCCGTAATGTAGTGTGACTTTTTTAATTACAGATATTTTCTTTTTCTTTTGAATTGCCTTTGCATTTGCAAATATATTTCTTACAATAATATCACTAATATTTTCTTAAATGACAAAATCTATTTTTTTTTATTACTAAGTATAGAATCAATAGTTTTCTCAGTAACTGAAACACCTTCTTCATTTTATTCGTTATCCTTACTATTATACTATTTGGAGGAATTATTATCATCTAATGGAAGTAAGTCAAGAGGAGCCAGTTTCTTAACTTTTATTTTATCAGATAGTGTATCTCAAAAATTAATTCAGCTATCTTCTGTAAAAGGTGTATTTTTATAGACAAAAATTTAAGTTATATATCGACTTTTTTTTTAGATGATATTCTCTTTTTTAGTGGTTCAGCTATCTTTCTTCACAAGCTCACTTATATCTAATCATGTAGTTTTCAATCTTTTTGTAACTTTTTCTTACAGTAAAATATCCTGATTTCATATTTTTCTCATTATATCTAAAATCTGTCAGGTCTAAAATTAGGGTTGGTAAAGTCTTAGATCCTGAACTCAAAGACTTAGTCCTTAGACTAAGTCCATAAATCTTTAGGTCCAATTTTTTAGACCAATAAGGACTTA